TATAAATGACTTAGCATTTGGTTTCGCCTCCTGCTTGACCAAGGCAGATTAAGAGAGAGCAAGTCATAATAAAACATCAGGCTGACAGTTCCTCCTGTGAAACTGAAACTGGGGAGCAGAGAAGTGGGGGTAAGAGCTCTCAGCCGCCTTCCCCTCACTGAGACCTTGCATGGTGCTCTGATGGGGCATCAGGGCTGAGTTGGGAAGATTTAGAATCCTCCCAGAGGTGCACTGATGTTACTTTTTCCCAGCTGGAGCTATGAGGAAACATGCACAGAGGGGAAGGGGCTCTGGATTATCCCATGTCTTTCTGATGTTGTGGCTACCCAACAGCATTTTGATTTTCTGAACTACCTGGGGACACCTGATGTGTTATGGATGATTGGGAGTCAATTGAGTGAGATCAATAGAAGAGGGAGTCCTGCTGGCAATGAATAGGAGAGGAGTGAGGGCTGGTGGGGGCTAAGAGGCTGGATTGCACTGCACAGTATTGCAGCTGTGCGGTGCGGTGCCTTCCATCACACAGTGTGGTGGTTGTTAGCAATCATAGTGTTATTTACATGGTGCCCGAAGGGTGCTAGGTGTAGCAAATATAACATCCTGGAGACATGGATGGGAATCCACTGGAGAGAGAAGTGCTGAGGTGGGGGGGGGAGAGAGGAAAGAAAAACAAGCTGGAAGCCACAAAAATGACATACAAAAAAAAAAAATTGGTTTTATTTCTTATGTGCACAAAAAGAGAAAATAAAAAAGTCAAACAGAACTGAAGCAATGAGGAAAAGCCAAGAGTGGCCGCAGTAGCCTAGAATGGATATGACCCTGCACCTGGCACTGGCCCCCTCCCATCCACACTCTCACGTCTAAGTTAGCCTGGAGAGCATCAGCAGAGCTGCTTAGGGTTTGAGTTGTCATCAGTTCTGTAATTGTCATTGTTTGGTCCCTCCTTCTGCCTTGCAAGTTTGCCACTGTCCTGGGCCCAGCCAAGAAGCACACTGTGGTATTTGTGGGGTTCCTCAGAAGCCCTCATTCTGTCAGTGCCAGAGGGGGCATCTATGATTCTAATTTTTTTTTCCCAGAGGGCTGCTTTTCCTTAGGGATGAAAGGGTGAGGGTTTTCCAACAGTTCAGCAAACCAAAAATTCCTTTAGGAAAATGTTTATGTGCATATATAATACTCAAGAGGAGAAAAAGGTGCAGGGTTTTTTTGTTTTCCTTTTGTTGTTTGTTCAACATCCTCGCATTCGTGTTGTGATTAATTCTGAAGTCTTACTCTGAGTTTGAAGCATGCAGACTTCTCTGTTTCCACAGCAGGGCTCATTGCCACCAACCCTCCCCAACAGATTTACAGGTTACAAGGATGTCAGCTTTAATGCATCTACCCCGTGCAACCCTCCCCACATCCCATTGGGCCAAAAGTAGCTTCAGAGAACAGGACTCAAAAGTGTTGCCCAGTTTTAAGTGCCATGGTCCCTGTTGCTTCCAGTGAAGCATGACGTGAGAGATCACGAGATTCTTCCCCTGTGAAGAAATGGTGACAGAAGGAGATCCAGTCACACAACATTTCTGCTTGGTCCGTTAGATAAAGCAAACGTAGCAGCAGAGCTATGAATGATAGAAGGAGAAAGAAGTGAAGGGATAGCTAAGAAAGAATAAAGAAACTAAGAATGATTTCTGAGAAAAAGGAAAAAAGAGAAATGTAATGGAAACATTAATTATTATTCAGAATAATACTTAACACTTTGATAGAATTTTCTTTCAAGATCTCAAAGCACTGAGCCAGTGCTAATTAATTCAGCTGCACAATCCCCCTGTGAACTAGGAACTACTGTTATGCCCCTTTACAGCAGACTGGAATTGAGGCATAGAGGGGAAATTGAACTTGACAAAGGTTCTCTAGAGTCACAAGGAGAGCTGGGGAGTTTGAGGTCCCAGATACCTGCTCTCGTATGAGTAATGCTGTTCCCTCTCTGGATAGAAAAGTGCATTGGGAATGAACAATAATAAAAGAGAGGGATAGAAATGGAGTGGAAAGAGAGTGTGAGAAAGAAATGGGAGAGGGAAGAGGCAGCAGAATGGAGGAGAGAGATGTGAGTCACAGACTTCACTGGATTTTGCATAGTGATTTCTTCCTCCAATTCTTTTTCATTTTTTCCTGTGAAACCTTTTTTAAAAAAAATTAAAAAAAAAAAAACAACCAATTCCACCTACAAGAAAGCAACTGTTGGCCTGTTAGGGAAGGGGTCTTTCCGAGTTTTGGCTGTTCCCTCAGGTTCTGGATTTGTGCTGTGCTTTATTGAACACATCGTTTTGTTTTCAGTGAGCACAACGAGACTTGCACAGTACAGACAGCGTGTTCCTTATCTACAGGATGAGGCGAGGCTGTTTTAATAACTACCATGATGAAGATGGAGATGAACTTATTTACAAGAGGAATTGCCTTCACATTACACACATTATCTTCCTACAAAGCAGCAATTGTTTTTGCAAATAACATAATATTAAATAATTGGTAGAATTTTTGCGTTTCCTGCATAGTCCAGTCTAATGGAATCTATATGAATATTGATGGTTTTCTTCTGCATAATATCACCACATAAATCCCTGTGTCAGCTACTAGACTTTAGCTATAATACTGCTTTACAATGCATCCACCGACTGTAAATCAAAACAACCAACACAAGAAACTCTTTGGCAAATGTAATTCAGTACATTCGCATGGGGGTCTACAGATGGTGGTGGAAGAGGATTAGACTGCCCAGTCCTTTGTACAATTCTGCTTTCCTTTTTATTTTTCTGGTCAAACTACGTGCCATACTTATGAACTTTCCAGACCAATCATGCCTGGTGGAAATCCTCTTTTATCAGTGGAGTTACTGATAAAAGTAACATTCCACCAATGGAATTGGCCCTCTGAGGGTCAAATCAAGCCAGCCATGAGTAAGCCAACCACATCCTGCTTTTATACCCGAGCTCATGTCTCAAGTTTAGTGAAACACCGTTATAAAAATAAGCATTTCTGAGCTGCTAGCTTCTCTTGAGGTGGCCTCTGGACTGCAGTCGTCAAGTGTGAGGTGTGACAGTCTTCTCTAGCCTCCTCATGAGGTTCTGCTTCCTCATCCTGGGATTTATTGCCTCTGCTCTGACCACCTGCTGAGTGAAACTTGGTGGTGCACACGTAGAGCAAAGGCTGTACTGAGAGACTAAGAGGGAGACTTTAGTAACAGGGTCCAGCATCTATTTGTTGTCTGTGGAGGAAAACAGAAGGAGTGGTGAAAGTGATTTTTTAGAATTTATTCAGAATTTTCTTCTCATATAAGATGAGGTAACAGGCCAAATTCGGGTCTTGGTGACTGCTCTTTGCAGCAGGTTACTCAGAGGTAATATGTGCAGAATGACACTTTCAATAGATTAGGAGTAACCTCTTTGATTTTCTTCTATACAGGAACAGATTTTAGTTCTATATCTTCTATGTAAACATCTCCCCAAACACCATTATCATTTGGGCACCCCATTAAAGAAGACACAGACCTATAATCAGCTAGAGCCATGCAAGGGCTAAAAGTGTTAGGTGAAGGGGGCCTTTGGGATCAACACAGCTGTTTACTGGTGATGGATTTAATACATACAAGTTAAACTTGGAGACAGAATACTGAGTCCACAACCACATCTCCTCTAGGCTTGGAACTCTGGATTTTATACATAACATTGGCTGTACAGATTACTCCGCTGTTCACTTTTATGTCCTTCGGGGGGGGGGTGTTGATTCTACCGTTGATTCTTAATCCTGTCTTTGTCCATGGACAGTAGCCCATGAGTTTTATCTGAAACCTCTCTAAAACAAGGATCTACTTTGGCAGACTTGATGCCCTGGGGACAGGCTATACCTGCCTTCATGTTTTCTTTGAGTAGTTTTTAGGAAGTGTCAGTGCAAGGAACAGTGTATGAGTTTGCTGACAATACAGGAGTAATAAGCATTTCTATTGACAGTTAGCCTTTTTCAGAACAGAGTTTGCCAGTCACTTGGGAACCAAAAAGAGCAGAGAATCCCTAGAGAATCATCAGGTGAGCATTTGGGATAAGGGGTAAATATTAGGACACACAATATAGGATTGAAGATGAAAAGATGGGGCTGTATGTTGGGACTGGCAGGTGGGATGCAGGCATACGGCTTTGAATGGAGGCCTATAAATTAGTAGGTGTATGAGCAGATGGACTGGGAAACGAAGGGGGCCCATATAGCAAGGCTATAGTGGTTAGGAAATTAGGTGTTGGGCACAGAATAATGAGGCTGTTATCACCAGCAGTGGGGATCCGGAGAATGGGTGTTGGGCGTATCTAACATTGCGAAAGTCAGGATGTGGGTGAACTGAAGTCGTCACGGGTACAGGGGTTAAGGTAAAAGGAGTGGAGGCTAAGGGCTAGGGAGCCAAGCAATAATCCCAGCCAATCCTGAATTTGTCCATCTCAGTCTCAGCTGTCCAGAGGGCAATCAGATGGGCCCACGTGAAGCCCCACACTTTCCACCACACAGCACAGCTAGAGCGCAGCTGGGCTTGTTTTCTTTGTTTGCCAGCCAGTGACATGGAAAACGTTTGTTGACTCAGAGTGCTTTTTTGTCGACTGATGTGTTTGGTAACTTTGTCAGATGTGACTTGTCCATACTGCTCCCCAGAGACAGGATTTGGGAAAGGGGGAGGAGGAGGAGGCAACAAGGGTGGAGCTGGCATCCAATCCTCTCCAATACCACCATCCCATTGTAGTGCAAAACAGAAAGGAAACAAAACCCTAGAGTGAAAGAGGAGCATCAGACGTCAGAGGAACTTTTCTGCCATTCAGGTGGCAGGGAGGGATGGGACTTGGAGTTTTATTTTTGTAGGTTTTTTTAATTATTATTTTGGTTTTTTTTGTTGGTTTTGTTTGCTTGGGTTTTTTAGAAAATTGGGATTTGTTCTTTTTTTTTTTCCTTTTTACAGACTGTCATGACAAAGCATAAAAACACAGTTATATTTATATATCTATTTATATATTTCTTCATTTCGTCGGTTGGTTTGTAAATGTTGCTCCATCCTCCTGTCTGAGCTGATTGTGTGTCACAGAAATTGTGGGTGTATGTGTGAGGTTCCTCCCGACTCTGGCCTGCGAAGTCACCACGTGTGAGGTGCAGCCAACTATGGGGAAGCCATGCTGGAGAGCTGGGATGAGGTGCACAGAGAACCCCTCATGGGGTGCAGATAGGTACTTGGTCCTTTTCTTCATTGCCAGATGGGCCACGTCTCTGTACTGCCATCTCTGCTCTAGCCAGACAGTTCCCTCTGTCTGGGAAACAGGGTGAGCGTCACGCGTTGCACACATTGAAGAGTCCACCACAGAAGAGCGTATCTTTGGGGAACAGTGTTTCATGAGCAGTGTTCTCCCCTGCCTCCCCCAGCCCTCACCGCTCCTGGAAGGGGGTCCTATAAGGCAATGGTTGCCAGCTGCATTGCTTCCCAGTCCCCCTGAAGTCCTGGAAGCCAAGGGGCCTTTGTGTGGCTGCTCTGCCCAGGAGCGGTGGAGGGCTCCCGCAGGAGAAGCCACTTGGCCACAGGTTCTTCCCGGCGTGGAGGGAGCAGAGGGGTGGAGGGCAAGGGGAGGGTGAGGGTCTCAGTCTCGTGTGGTCAGCGCTTGGTCCGGTGCCTTCGTGGCGAAGAGGAAGGAACTGGACTGTGGGGAGGAATGGAGAAATTCTTCACCCTTCACAGGGATGGAGGGAGGTGATCAGACAGGTACAATGTGGAGGCCTAAGCTGTCGCCCTGCAGTTTCATGTGGTTTCCATGGTAACTAGTGGCGGTCATAGGCAGCGGCAGCAGTGGGAGGTGCGGAGCCCCGGGATGTGGCACTATAATAATAAGGGGAACCTGAAAGTTAACACAGGAGAAGAATGGACTGGTTGAAAGGACAAACAGTAAAAAAAAATAAATAAAACAAACAAACAAAAAAAAAAAACGAAGAAAAGAAACAAAGGAGAACTGGAAGGAAAGGAAAGGAAGGAAGAAAACAAAAGGAACCAAAAGAACAAACCTGGGGGCTCGGCTCTTAATGGGATTGGGGAAATGCAGTAAATGGAGGCAGCCAAGGGCTGCATTTCAGTGGAGAGATGCTACTGTGGCTGCTGGTTTTGAAGCCCCCTCAATGGGAAGGAAATCTTTTTGCTCCTTCTGACTGTCAGTAAGTTATGACCATCAATAAGTTACTGAGAGGGAAGCCTATGAGCATTGCAGCACAAACACTCCATACCTCATCTGCAGCCACAAGGGAAGTGTCAGGGCCAGATATTCTGAGCATACCTGACAAAGTATAATGGGTCACTTTTAAAACCAGGAGGGGAGAAGTGAAACAAAACTACAGTGGTTTATTGTGTGGGATTTTGGTCACATTTGGCATGAAAGCTCTCTAGATGGTTATTGAATGTGTGTTAAATAGTGATTGATTATTAAGATCACATTTACTGAGGTTTAACAACACTGGAATAAAATGTGCATCTATTCAGCTGTTAAACCTCAGTAAATACGTAGGTAATAATCACAGCTGATTTGTTTTACATATAATAAATTTTTTCCTATTCCCTTCCAAATAAATGTTGTGTTAGAAGATACGATCTTATAGGAGGTTTTTTCCCCTCTGAAAGAACCCTGACTATTTCTAGGCATATTAGGAACTGGGGATGGATATATTCCTTCTAGAAAACTCTACTGGCTATTACCAATCTAGTTATAAAGCCCATCTACCACCCTGGACACAGTTTCAACTGGTCCTACAGGAAGAACTTCTGTGGGATTTCCAGATCCCTGGGAACTGACTCTGGGTTTACCTTGAGAGAGGAGTGAAACCTTATCTGGAATTTTAATCGTACCTTGAATGGATATGGATGGCAGCCTGAGAGAATAGCAGTACCTGAGTTTAACTTTTGATCTAATCTGCAATAAACTGTGGATGTAGTTCACGGAGAAGCCCATGCTGAACTGAAATTCTGAACCGTCGCAGGAAAGAGGAATCAGCTTCAGAACAGATACAAAACACCCATGAGGTATATACCCATCTACACACTGGACTGGAGAGTGAGGAAAAAGGCCTCTCACATGCCTGAATACTTGAAAGCCCTCTCCAGAAACAAACAAAAAAGAAACTAAAACAAAGAGACAAACAGAAGGAGCACGAGGCTGGGGGTGTGCTGTGGGAAAGAGATACTCACTTAGTAATGCAGGGTTGCTGAACCGCCAGGCCTCGTTGTAGGTTGTGTACTGAGGGTGGCTGTAGGGGTTGCCTGAGAACTCGCTCCCTGGAAGAAACCAAGGAAGGTGTGAAATACAGTTAAGAGATTTATGTCTACTATTCCATCGAGCTAGCATTCAAGCTGAATCGTATGCCATCAGAAAAACTAGTGTGCCTAACTTCCTTGCTCAGCTGGGATTGTGCCCTTCAGGACGCTATACTATTTGTTCAGTGCAATGCTGCTTACCCATACAATTAAAAAAAATTGTAAGATTGGCCTCTTCAGACTCAAGAAATTAGTTTAAAATAATGAAATTCAATAACACAAATAATTAAAGTGATTTATTTTTTGTTGCCTTCCAACTTCTGTTTCCCAGGTTGCAGAAAGATTGCAAAGCACATGCAAGCTTTTTTCTGCAATTAACCATCAGCTTTCTTTTAAGTAAAATGTAAGATTCCGCAGTAGAGTCAAGACAGCAGGCATTGGAGCTTGATGGGACAAGCTCAAAATAAACTCACTGAACTAGCAGGGCTGTTGATGGCAATATGTGTTGCTAAGTTGTGTTTGTAGGGTACTGCAGGTAATGATGTATTTGTGGAGAAGAGTAATTTCTCCATGAATACAGTGAGAGTAGGGTGGGCTTAAATATAAATCAAAATGAAAAACATATGAATCTTTCCTACTCTCTGTATAGATGGTGCTAGTCAGAAAACTGAGTCATGTATCGTTAACCCCACCTTTGTGCTTAGTGAGTTACAGAGAAAAGTTGCTGTATTCCAGTTCCAGAAAATAATTTTCTAATGATTACTGCTTTAGGTACTATTCTGAATCTGAAAGGCAAGCTAAGCTTTTTCACATTCAGTAAAACGGACCCAAGACAAAATACTTGTGATCTAATAAGACTCTGACCCCAGCTTTGAATGTTGTAGGGTCTATAAATATTCAGTTTTACTGTGCATAAGCTGCTGAGTCTCCTTGTTTTATAGAGGGCTGTGGAGGACTAAGGAATTATATTTGGTAACTGAGGAGGTGTGGTGCTGCATTCAAAATAAATAAATCTCCCAAAACTTAAAAATTTATGATTCTGCTAAGTAAAAACATGCCATTATCTGATCATAACCTGATCGTAATTTAATCTAGTACCAAGAGACTGGGGACAATTACTGTGATCTGAATGGCGTTATGCACTTAAAAGACAATGAACAGCGTGACTATTAGCTTCTGATCTGCCCTGAGCAAGGGGTGGAGTTGTTACAACAGTAAGTGTTTGGAAAGCACCTGGGGCTCCTGCTAGATACCATGGAATAAGGAAAGAAGGCAATGTGAGACCCGCTGGATGCCTGTGATACAATTACCGAAGAAATGTCAATTAATTATACTGTAATCTCTGCAAATCTCCCCTCACTGGAGAGTTAAAGCCAAACCACAGGTTCTCAGATGGTGGAAATGAAATCTGTTGAAGTCAGGGGATTTGCAGTGCTTTAAACTTGAGAAGAATCTGTCCAACAAGATTTTTAAAGACACTCAGGGTAATAGCCAAAGTAGTCAGCATGAAAAGATGCATGTATCAAAAACCAATCACTATCCAAAGTATTTTGGTCACAGCAGTTTTTAGCTTCAGTATAAAACCTTATTTTGTGTGATAGACCTTCCTAAACACTCTTTTAATGATAATAACTCAGCATATTTCCATATCTAGAAATATCCTGCCCTGAAAATTCTGACAGCTTGCTGGGAAGGAATAGGTGAAACCTGCCAAGGTGACCAAGAGACTGTGGGATAGGATACAAAGGCAAAAAGCAATGTGTAATCCTAGTTAATCTCTACTGAAGTGACTTGCTTGTGGGGTATAAAGGAATGAGTTTGCCCCCAGTACGAAGGAAAAAAAAAAGCATACAAATGAGAATTTCTGCTTTGAAATGCCTCATATACCTTTTCACTGCACAGAGGGAAGAAGTTCTGACATTTCAAGGCTTCTCTCCCACCATCTTCTGAGTTGTCACCCTAAACTGTTTCTAGTGTTGCTAAAGCGTGGGTTAAGGAGAGAAGGAGCCTCAGCTATGGAGAGCTAGGGGAGGAGGGAGGGCAGCCACTGGAAACAGTGTTTATTGACGAGGAGTGAAAGCATGCATGCAGCAGGATAATGAGCTTTTGAGCTCAACTGTGACCAAGAGGAACTGAGCTATCGCTTTCCTCGATCACTAATGAAACAAGTGTAATTTCCTCATCAACATTGGATTCTGTTTAACGACTCCCTGCCGTTGCCATCACCAGCCCTCTGCAGGCTCTACGATGCTCTGGGTAAACTGCACTTCCCTTTTAGCAGATGCTGACTTCTCCAAAACAGTTTCTGGGAAAGAGGAAGAATTGAGGCAGGGAGCAAAGGTGCTCTGTTACCTGTGCAGGAAACCTCTCTCAGACACACAGGTTAAGTGTGTAGCACAGTACCTGATTAATCCTTCTCTGAGTGACTAACCCCTGCTTTTTCAAGTGTGTGCTCAGGGACTACTGGCTTTCATCCATGTCTACAGCCTGGGACCTGCAGGTACAGGCAAGGGCAGATGCAGGATATGTATCCACATCATGAAACATAAACCTCAGAGATATTTGCATGCATGACTGGCCATGTTGCATGGATGTGCTGCTACCAGAGACAAGCTCTTCTCTAGATTACACAAGTAGAAGTCTAGTGAAAGGTTGTCACGGATAGAGCAGAACAGCTTTGGTTAGCACTGGTCAAACAATCTTCTCAGAAACAGTTTTCCACTGGAAAATGCTGTCTCATCAAAATGAAAATGTTTTGCACAAGCTTGTCAGCTTCAATGGAGTTTTGGAAAGAAAAGTTCTGAAATGATTGCAAATTGAAACAAAGTATTATGTTTCAACTTTCTTGTTTTGTTTCATTTTGCCTTTCTCATCTCATTTAATTTCCTTTCAATTCTTTCATTATTTTAATATGTCTTGACATCTAGAACATGTTGATGTTATTGAAATGTTTCATCCTGATGTCTGCAAATTGAACTGTTTCAAGATTCTGAGTCCTCATACCAATGCAAGATGAAAACAAATGTCAAAGAATCAGAGTTTTGTATGGATTGGAAATTCTGGTTTCTGACCAGTTCTATTTTTAGCTCTGCACCTTTATCTAGAGAAAACAAGAGGCTCTTTCTCATATTCACTCACATCTGGACAATAAGGTTTGTTTGCATGTGAGTATGTTTCTTAAAGATACTTCATGAGTGGTCATCTTGCTGATTTCTTGTTTCCAGTGTATTTAAAGCACTGGCCTGTGATCTTTCTTGGCCTGGAGGCATGTGGCAAACCATTGGCAACATCATATTTGTTTTCTCTATTCAACCTGGAGTCTTAACAGAGGTTGCAAGCAAGCACAGGGGATTGATCTCATGAGGCCTATATTCTGTGCAATCCGTGCTCTAGAAACCTTTACTAGCAGTATTTCTTGGTATCTGTATTTAAGTCTTGGCACGTTTAGTCTTCTCATACAGAAACCATGAGGCATGAAGTGAGCCTAGCAGGTGGCAGGTTCAGAACAAATAAGGGAGGTAGTTTTCACACAGTATGTAGTTAAGGTACAGAACTTCTTTCCATAGGTTGCTACAGATGTTAAAGGCTTATATGGGTTCAAGAGACACTGTTCAAATCTGTGGAGGTGAAATCTATTGAGGGTGTGTAATAATTAAATAGAAAGATACTAAGTGTGGCTTAGGAAGTCTCTGAGATGCAACTTGTTGGAGGCTGGGAGATCTTTTGATAAAGTACCAATACATGTTTGCTCTATTCTTACACCCTTCCCCAGACATTCATTTTTGGCCTGTTGCTGAGGAGATCTGCAGCATGACCCATTAAAGCCAAGGCTTCTATTACTTCTCATGAAGCCTCTTTATCTCTCTGGCTTGTTGGCTTCAGTCACATTAGAAGACAGGAATAGAAGGGCTTTGTGGAAAGATGCAGTAACTACTGCAGGACACCCAAATAGGCCACTGGAAGAACTTCTTCCAATTGCATGTTGACATCAGATTTAATTTAAAGGCACCCATTTGACTTGAATAATCTTTTTTCTTTGAAGTGTAACTCAAGTTTTTTCTTTATCATCCTGTTTCTTTTCTTTTTGGGGGCATCTGTGTGGTTTCAAGGGACACTGCCGTTTTATAAATAAGTAGCCTCCACATCAAGGAGGTGAAATACCCTATTCTTGAATACCTGACCCGTGTGATTAGTGGCCTTAACTTTTTTGTTCCAGTTTAGATTTCAGTATTATCCTTGTGATGAGGATGTTAAACTTGTGTATCAGTCACTGAACAGTTGAGAACAGTCAGAAGTTGAGAAGAGACTGTTTTTTTAGAAGTGTCTATTCAAAGAGATGGCTACTTTGATGTTATTAATAATTTCTGTATGCTGTGACCTTCTCTAATTTTTTACGTACTTATATATTTTACTGACTTATATATTGACAACTGAATCTACCTACTGTTACTGTGTGGGGTTTTAAAACTGATCTATATTGTCTTACTGCTTCTGTGATTCTGAAGCCAAACCATCTACCTGAAAAATTTAGTGTAGAAGGAGATGCCCTAAAATTTGCCATCTCTGCACCACCACAGTTCAGCAAAGCTGGCCAGCTATATCGAGGGACTAAAGTGGAGGTGAGGAAAGGATCACTCCACTGTCTTTTCCTGATCTGGAGATCAATCACATCATCTTCACAGCATAGCCTGAGATTTTGTTGTGCCTTAGGATCCTAAGCAGTAGGTAGCTTGTTAGCTGCGGAATGTGACCATGGGCAGTAGCCAGTACTTCGTGGTATATGAGCAGTGATTTGTCATTTAAAGACGTTAAGACTGCAAACATTTCTGTCAGTGATATTTTCAGTTGTGTTGCTGCAGTGTATGTTCATATAGCTAGCTGTTCTAAGATTTGGATGAGGGTGTTTAGGCTTTTCACTCCTAAGCCCTGGCAAATCATATCATAGTGATTTAAGAGCTTTCTGTCCTCAGCTTTCTGCTGCTTTGGTTCTGAAGTCATCCCTTCAGTAGCAGAGGTTACAGAATGCACTGTGTACCTGCTCATTAGCCATCACGACTCACAGCCCAGGGCAGTAACAGAAGCAGAAGTCACTGGCAGATGAATTTCTGAGTTCTAAGCTACCATGGCTGAGAAACAAAAATCCTGCCTCTTGATTTATCTGCTGGGGATAACTCTCATCTGAGGAATGGGGAATAGAGCTTGGGGTAGTAAACTCTTCAATTGCCCTAGGGTAAATGGTCCTCTCTTCTCCTTAAACAGAGAATCCTTCTGTTTATGCCAATAGAAGGTATTTCTCCAAATAAATCAGTTTGCCTTTAGGTGCAGGATTAGGTAGATAGTTTCTTGGATTGGAGGCACAGTCTTACAAAGAGGAGGCAGGTAGGTAGCTGGTTGTTAAAAGGGAATAGTTAGTTTCTTCTGAAATGCTGTTAATCATTGCTGAGTTCTTAGCTAGTTTAGGCTATGGACAGTGGGTCTCCAAAAATTGCAGGTATTAAATTATCATTGATGATTTTCAGTTTGATGCCTTGGCTTTAGATGGAAGGTAAATTGTTACCCTAAGTTAGTGGATAGCTGAATATCCTGAGCCATAAGCAGTACTTAATAATCTGCATGGGTTGTTGGAAAATAATTACATGAGTTAATACTAAGGTTAATTAATTACCAGTTAATTGCCACAGGTTATAGATAGCTAGCTGCCCACAGCAGCAGTGAATCAGTTACTAGGGGGGAAAGAGACATATTACAAAAAGTGTTGTTAGCTGCAGTGGTTATAGGCACCTGATGATTTCTTTATGAAAAGAATAGTCCTTAATATCAGCAAAGTAATAGCAAAGCCAACTGTGAAAGCTCTTACTATACTAGTATACTGTTTAAACATGTGTGCAGCATTACTGAAGTCTGGGGGCTGACTTACCAGGAACCATTCCTGCAAGAGTTGAGGTTGGGTAGCTGCCTTGTCCAGTTGGGGGAACATGGGGTGGGTAGCCAGGCAAGGTGGTGCTTGCCATATCACGACCTGGAAAAGGAAAGAATCAGGACAGGGGCTCAATAGGGATAAGGTTTTTCAATATTGATTTGATATCACCTTTTTTCCCAATGTCACATGACTAGCAGCTTGATAGGTAAATGCTGTGCAGAGTTCTTTTGCATAAGTGCTCTTCATCCACTGAAAATACTGGGGGAAGATCGTGGCATTTTCGATCTCACACTGTAAAGGTGGATGCTAAAACTTAGCTTTGTGAGGCCCAAAATAATTCGTTTCATTGTAGATTTTGCATTTATTTTAACTGAATCAAAATGGCCCTGAGCTGCACAGAGAATGGTGGCATATTCTTTGCCAGAGTAGCTGAAGTCCTGTCTATCTGCAGTGGATGCAGTTCCAAAACTGGTAGGATGTTGCTTTAGGGCATGATCAATGTGCAAGGCATTGGAGAATGATCCAAGAGTTTTCTGTGCCTGTCTTTCTTCCCACCTCTGCCATTCACCTGATGATGATTTTAGGCAAGTCACTTCACCTCTGTGTGCTGCTTCTTATGCTGCAAACTCTTTGGTGCAAGGGCACACTTAATACATTTTCACAGTGCTTAGCATTAGATCAATACCGGTTGGACTCCTTCCAGGTGCTAGTATAATATATACTGTAATAGAACCATGCAAATTAGTTTGAGTCCCACTTCATTTTTATCGCAGGTACAAGTGATATCTTTTCTCCACCAAAGTAGAGAGGGGTGTAGACTGGGTGGATGGTTGTAGTTTATTTTTCATCCCTTAGGAAGTGCAGCTGGAGGCTTCTTGGTTGATGCCAGAGGCATTTCCTCATTTGGATTTGTTAGCCTGAAAATGGGCCAGCCAGAAGGGCATTTGCTGTTAGTGCTTATGGCGTTTAAATGAACTAAAATAATCTCAGAAGCTGCTGAGAGTTGCAAGCCAAAACAAAACGAAACCAAACCAAAAACAAAACAAACCAACCAACCAAACAAAAAAAGGCTACATAAATTAAGATAATTGTTGCCCCACAGCTGCTGAGATATTTATAACTCAACCTCCAACGCTGCCTACTGAGATCTCAGCCTATTGCAGGCATCCAAATCCTTTCACATTCCCTAGGTGACCTGTAGCTCCTCAAGAAGTTTGTGCCATTTGTTGTTCCTTTGTTAAATTTTGTCTCTCCTATCTGTTCTAACTGGAGGACTGGAATGTGATCACCTTTAGAAGTGACAGGTTAAGTATTAACACCACTAGAGTCACTTGCAGCATGGTTGGATATGCCAGAGAAAGAAGAGTAAGAGTTGGTTTAGCTCTACTAATGGCAGAATGATAACTGATAAAGCAGGCCCTGCAACAAGCATGAACCTTCACTGGGCAATCAGAAATAAGTAACAGTTACACAGCAAAGCAAAAACTGATCAACATGGAGCATTAACCTGAAGGGAGGAAGTTACTCTGGGATGAGGTAGGCTAAACTACCTCATTGCTTTCACAGGTCCGGACTAAAGATTACTGAGGTGATTTGCTCAAGAAAAAAGAAATGCAAATTCATTCTTTATCCTTGAAGTGTTCCTAATCAGTGGCTGATGTTCCTGTCTCACCTGCACTTCGATAATGGGACAGAACTAGCAGGTGGGAGTAGTCTCATGGCTGAGACATTTTTCAGCCACTCTCCAATATTGGTAAAAATAAATATATAATGCCTTCATTTCTTTAGTGGTTGGTAGTTGTGTGTTAAGCTGGATGATAAACACCTCCTACTTAAACAGGGGAAGTTTAGATTGGATATAAGGAGGAAATTCTTTCCTGTTAGGGTGGTGAGGCACTGGAATAGGTTGCCCAAGGAAGTTGTGAATGCTCCATCCCTGGCAGTGTTCAAGGCCAGGTTGGACGAGGCCTGGGGTGATAAGGTTTAGAGCAAGGTGTCCCTGCCCATGGCAGGGGGGCTGGAACTTGATGATCTTAAGGTCCTTTCCAACCCTAACTATTCTATGATTCTATGATTCTACATGTAGGTTATGTTTTTTTTCCCTTCACATTCTTTAAAGGTGAGAAAGTTTTATGCTAAAATTCATGTTCTTTAGGTTTCATTTATTGACTAGCCTGAGATACAACAGCAGGTGATGAGTGAGAAAACAGTGTTACTGAAAAGTTAGAGAGAACATTACGTAGCAGCAGGCAAAATTAATTCATTTTGACACTTCAGTTCAGGTGGGAACACATACACACTCACTCTGCTGCCTGATCTGTGCACATGTGCCCCTGTGTTTTTATTCAGATGTGAGCACACAGGGGCTGACGTTCAAAATTCAGTGTAAAAAATTTACTGGAAAGTGATCATCTGTCAAAATCCCAATCTTGAGAAGGAAGATAACAACCAAGTACAGTATCAGCAACATGAATGAGTCTCACAGAGAGACTCTCAAAATGCTGTTACATGCAGGCAGGCCTCTTCCATTACCTCCTGTCATTACCAACAGGTGACAGGGTTATTAAATTCTTGTACTCCAGGGCTATGACAAAGCTAGCACCTATCCTGTTCATAACATGCTTCCAACTCCAGCCATTCTCCCCTCCCCAAGAGCCTTCCAAGTGAGGAACAGCACCTTCATCTCTATGACATTGTTTGAGCTTTTGAACACTCTCCCATGTCTGATTCTCCATAAGGGTCCTAAGGCAGATGCCTCTCTTGAAACACAGTGCCTTCTAGGCTACAGGGTGGTCATATATGACTGCATCCCTAGAGAACTATATTGTTGGAGAGTCTGTTATGAGACTTCTTGGCTTAGGAAGTGCCCAGAGCTCAGAGACTCTTACTGGCTGCAGTAAGATTGGACCAAGACAGTGTTATGAACACAAAAGTCTTCTCTGCTGTTACCTGATGCTTTCCTACAGGGAGATTCAGAAATCCAAATCTCACCTGACACATTAGGTCAAAAGAGAAAAATAATATAGGAACATGAAGGAGGCAAAGGTAAGATGTGTTTCTTGATCATTAGGAACTGTGGTCTGCACTAAGACTATCTGTTCTGAAAAAAAACAAATTATATTCTTTGACAATGAAATGACAACAACCTCAATGGTCACCTAAAATTATACCCACCATTTCATCCAAGCCACATCTGAGCTTCTGCTGCAGTGTTGCTTCAGTCACCTTGCACATGAGTTTACCCTAATACCTACCTGAAACCTGTCCTCGCTCCCCACCCTCCCCCCCAGCCTGCTGCTTCTAAGTGCTGTGATCTTCTGCAACCTATTTCTTCACTTGTCTCCTTCCCTTAAAGGTCACCTACCCCCGACCTGTATTCCTTTGGCTATAAGGCATTATAGTCTCTTACCCACTCTTCCTGGCCCTGACGTTCAAATGTGATGCCCTTTTCCTTAGTTACTTGGTCTGCTGTGTGAAGGCACTAGCTCACATTGACACTCTCAAACCAGGTGACTCAAATACTGCTCACAACATAGCTATGACAGTGTATGTATCTAGATTAGTAGTTTGTACAACCCATGCTGAATGTCCCTGTCAATCCTAGAGCTGGCTAGGTTATTCAAGCTGCTATCATCTACCTCAGGCTAGCACACAATACCCTTGCTAACACTACAGTACTCAGGGGCACTATGGCTTTTGAGGCAACACAGGATTTTGCTGTATGAGTATTTCTATAGCAAGACTTGGACCCATACAACTGGGACATCCTTCTAAGTAGTTACAGCTTCTTCCCATTTTATTCTAAAAAATTAAGGACTGGCATGAAATCTTTCTGTGACTCTCCATGGAGCTGAGCACACATGCTGCATACACAGAACTGGAACATGGCTGCTCTCTTTCCAATTGCACTCAAAGAGCTTGCAGCATTTACTGGTCTCCCCATCAGGTGAAACTGCACCCCTTTCCTGCAGCATCCCCACTGAGTTTGTGGCCAAGGCCAGTTACCTGCTATCAGAGGCTGGCTGCTGGACTGCCCAAAGTGGGCACCATGATGAAGGAAGGCACTGTAGCAAGGCGTGGACGCATCGTCTGAAAGGGCCATGTGGAAGGGCTGAAGATCAGCCTGCCCAGAGCCGACCGGCGTGGTGGGGGTGAAAGGGGTGAGAGAGGCTCCATGAGGCTCTTGCTTTATACTGAGGGGAGAGGAGAGGTTTTCTGTGGTAGGGTAAGGGATGGACACAGACAGACAAAGGGAACAGGGGGAGGAAGAGGAGGGTGGGGAAGGGAGGAGAGGAAGAACAAAATGGGTAAATGAAAATGGAGTGGTTAAAATCTACAGGGAAATTAATTTAAAAAACAAAATAAAAATAAAAAGGTTAGGAGTAGATCAGAGGAGCCAGTGCTGAGACAACAGCAGTAAATGCACCCAGGGGCTAGGCTCTGACTGCAGGGGCAGCAGGAGATGAGGAGAATGGAGTGCAGTGGCAGACAGGAGGAATGGGATGCAGGAAAAGGAGAGGTGAGGGCGGGGACATGCAGGAGAGGAAGGACAGGAGGTAGCATAGGGCTGGGAAGGAGAAGAATGCTCAGAAGCTTCTGTGCTCCCTTTCCTGCTGCTTTCTCTCATGGGCCAAGGGCATGTGAAGATGCTACACTTGCACAGTTTGACCTAGGGAATTATACTGCTTTGCCTCTTCCAGCCCAGGGTAACCCCCAGGACAGCTTGCATTATTATGAGCATCTATCAAACAGGATGCTCAGGGTAATGGCCAAAGCTTCTCAAGCCAAACTCCATAAAAGCTTTGACAAAAAAGGTGTAGCTGAAGTTTGAGGTGGTTAAAGTAAGAATGGGACTGTGTAACTAATAGGTGGGTAGACAGATCAATCAATTAATCTTGTTCACAGTGGCACACTTTGGAGCTTTAACCATAAAAGCTGTCAGTACTGACTCTGGTTGTTCCCACAGTATAGTGTTGCCAGACAGGTGCCTTGACAGAGAGATATAATGGAAGAGAGGAAATGTGTGAGACATGAAAGGTCTTATTTATATTGTTGTTTGCATTGGACCTCCATTTTTTACGTACGTACAGATTCAAATAGGCACAATAGATACAGGTTTGCAAGTGCACCTAACTTGGCAGCCAAGGAAGAGGCTTAGCAATTGAAGAGCTCAGTGACTTAAAGCATGGGTACTCCAGAACACCCACTGTGGTTGGGTCAGCAGTTATATGGTCCTGTATTTGAACACCTGAACACAAAGTATGGATGATATGATCAGATCCCATCCAAATTGTCTAGCAAAGCCTCCACCCTCAGGTAAACAAATTACAGTCAATAAAGGAAAGTCATCTCTCTGCCGTGATGACAAGTGTTGCCAATGGCCTATGAAATAAGTTAGTTCTGGTGGTTTTGATTTATACAGAGAAATATAAATGTGACATATAATTAGGTCATAAATCTGACTTCATTAATGTAGAACTGGCTTAATTAACTCTAGGCACCTTATTGCGAGGCTGCAGTGCTCACCTGGACAATAAAGGGCTGGACTGTTTCTATCTGCGAATGCTTTTTATCCTGAGGCATTTGTTTCCTAAAGGTTTGCTACCTGGCAAAAATGATAGTTTGCCATCTGTGTTCTTCTCCAAGTACCTCTTAACCAGGATGGCCAGCAAAGGTCTCTGATTACTGAGATGCCTTTGCAGCAAAGACATATGTTCATGGTTCAGATGGTTGGGAAGGATGAGTTCTCATGAAAAGGCGTACAGTTCCTCTTTATTTAGTTCACTTACATGAAGTCTCTGGCATGCTAAGTAAGGATTGTAATTTCTTTCCCCTTTTTGCTGTAGGAAGCTCTGTTTGACAAAGACCTTTTGTGGTGGGTATGGGGAATAGAAAGTGGAGTATCTGGTTTTTGTTGCACAGTTAATTAAAAACACCAGAGTAAACAGCACATTGGCACCCAGCTTCTGCTTTTTACACCAATATACTCTCCTACAGTCCTACCAGTGAGGCTTCACATGCTGGTCTCTGTAGATGGAGAACCCACAGGGCTATTTTTCTCCTGCATTCTCTGTCATCAGATGGCAAGGAGTGCACAGATTTACCTTCAGGACAGACAGGCAGAGTCACCACCAGAAGCCTAGGAGTGCTGAAGCCTTTATCCAAATAATGTTGATACTAGATAATTTGGATGAATGGATCTATCTGCAGGCAGGGGGGACAAAAGTTCCCCTGGCTTTCAGGGGCTGCAAGTGACGTGGTATTTTTCAAGGAAGGCATGTGAGAGTCATAGCTAAATAAAGTAGGGAACTCTGGTCCTGGGTATTTTCCAGGCTCCTTTTTCATCTCTGTGTTGTGCAAGAGGGCAAAGGTGTGGGAGCCACTGGGCAGGAAAGGGCAGGGAAAGGGATGGACACAGGAAGCATGGGTAGGCAGAAGCAAGAGGTACTATGGGCAGAGGTTAATCCTGTTTGCACAGCCCTCAGGCACACTGGGTTTCCTAGTCCCTCCCCTGCTTTATTTCTCTTTTAAAGCATGGAATTTTCAGCTATAATCCTTCCTAAACCACAGCATTTTTCAGGCGCTCTGTGTAAGTGAAACCATAATCTCTGGTAAAACAGGCTGCTTAAGCTGCTGTAGCATTAGGCCAATCTGATCCAGCCCCTGGATTTCCGTTCTGCCCAGCCACCACGGAGAGGATTTCAGCCTGAAAGACTTTCTAAAGCCCTTGCAATGGGAACAACAGTGCTAGGCCTTGCCTTGCAAAGCTGAGAAGGGTTAAGGGACCAGGAGCTATTTGTCCCAGTGTTGTGAGGCTGTTAAAGCCCCTGTCAGGCTCATGACAGAGATGAGCCCAGCCCTCTCTTGAACACATCAAGGCTTATGAAGAAAAATTCCTCTCACCTTCCACAGGCAGCACCACTTACTCAGTGCGGGGAGATAAAGAAGTCAACAGTAACATGGCAAAGAGACTGGGACACAATAATGCTAAACACTCTTCCCTCTAAGAGTAGTGCAGAGTAGGGGAGGATAAGGTCAGACAGCAAATGATTGCACAACCAAAACTCAGACTTTTATGTATCTATTTGTCTATCTGTCCATCTTTCCATCTGTGCTGTGCAACTGCACAGTCATAACTTATATCCCATGTATCTTTACTGGGGAATGACATTTACCATTTTTTACTCATTTGCTGTCCAACTCTCCCCTGACTAAAAGCCCCTGAATTCTGTCTCCCATATAGCTCCTGCCACTGCTATGCTGGAATAATTGCCCCAGCAGTGAATTATAGCTCCAAAGTGTGTCAGTGTAGACGACATCAATTGATTGATCTATCTATCCACCTGTGAATGGCACAGTCCCATTTTTCATTTTAACCACCTCAGACTTCATCTGCACCGTTTTTGTTTTCACCTCTGTTTTTCTCCATTCTCTAATTCTTTCATACTTTTCAACTTTCCCATTATTCTCCCAAGTCTTGCTGGTTCTAGCAAGCTGTGGAGCAGTGCTGTACTGGCTTGCCTGTGTCTTGAGGGCATCCCTCAGTATGGCTGCATCAGGGAAAGCCAGAGTATCTTATATTAGTGTCTTATATTCCTAAGGCTGGAATACCACTCTGTAATATAATGAGGATGGAATGAGTTTTCAACCTCTTTCCAAAGCAGCAGAAATCTATTCCTATCCCAGGTTCCTTTCTTCTTCTAAATAGCAAACGATATCCTTGTATATAAGAGACAATAAATTACCACTCAATGTCATGGGAGGGAAATTTGAAAGGGGCATGGGGTGGGGATATAGCTGGAAACATAGCAGAGGACTATGGCTTTTATGCATCTCCTACTCCTCTCTTTCTGACTGTACTTGCTGAGTTATGGCTGTTTTCCTTCCTTTCTAACCCTCTCTTCTTTTATTCTGGCTGAGAGCTAGAACTGGTGATCTCTGGCCTAAATTCCCCCTGCGAATGAAGGGATTTTGGCCAGACAGACTAAGAGGAAGATTCACAGCTTTGAGTTCCTACAGAGACTCGTCTCAGCTTTTATTGTGCTCTCTGCTGCTCAAGGGAAGGGAAGGGAAGCAGGGGGGTTGCAGGACTAGATAAGCTGCTTGTTTTTCATTGATGGCTTCCTGGACGATAAGCTACCTGCATCCAGTAAACCTGCATCTTTCAGTAAACAAAGAATATCAAGATAGCACATCCCTGCATAAGGGATGGCTTGTACACACCCACTTATCAACAGTGCTCACCAGCTTGACAGTGACTAGCATTCTTCATCTTTTCCTGGTGTAGCTATCAACTATTTGCATGCCCCAGCTCCTCACTCTTTTAGAGCACTTATCCATACAGCATCCCATAAGCATCAGTGTTTTAGCCACAAGGAAGTGAACTCAGAGAAGACGTACCTATGTTTATGTAGGAACCCTGTGCCAAAGCTGAATCTTATCTCAGGTGTTTTGAATCCTACGCTTGTACCCACCATTGAAACATCTTTCTCCATATTTATGTTTTCCATTTCTTAGAGAAGTTTCATTAGGGCAAACAGAATATGACTGGCTCTTTAGCATTCATAAAGTGGTGAGTTTACGCTAGAGGCAGTGGAGCCATGTCACTTTATCCCACATGAGAATCTTGTCTCAAATCCTAGATGTCATGCAAGAGACCACAACCACAGACCGACACAGCATATCTTTCACTTTTGCTTTCTGTCATGTCAGAAGAACCACTTTTTCTCTCCTTTCTTAGTTTTCTAGCTTTTCTTTTGCAAAAGCATTATGCAGGTTGCACTGAAGATAAAGATCATCCTATTTTTTTTCCTTTCTCTGTGATCATAACAGAACTTTCCTAGAACTGAAAACTGTATAAAGACTAAGCTGCTTCTCATCGTACCTTTCTTTTCTTTGTATTTCTGATGACTGGAGAATGAGTCTTGCATGTTCAGGTTTATTTTCGATTTCTGTACAGATCCATCCACATTCTTAGCCCAATACTTTACTTGTGGGTTGTTGAAGGACATGTTTAAAGAAACAACCTTGGATTGCTTTCCCCTGAGAGTCAAAACTGTTGTCACATCACTGATAGCAAGTTTTGAAATCTCTTTGCCCCATTTTTTATACAACTGAATTTATAAACCTAGATTTTTGTGTCTGATCTAACTTAAGATCAGATCTGTCTTAACTGCTGCTCTCCAGGTAAACTGACCTGCTAAGTCTGTGTGTTA